CGAAATTATACCTTTCAAATGTCACTTTTCAAAACAGACGCAGTCGGAAAATTACACCGCTTTCGGAACATGTGACAGCTCTGTCATGGGACGGAGGTATACTTTGCAGAATTAGAGGAGGACATTAGAGGGGGACAAAATTAATTTAATTGCCTATATTCACAGTCCTCAAAAGGAATCACCAATGGGGAATTTGAATCAGGCATCTGAAGATTAGATCAGTGTTATTAACATACAAAATATCCCCTTCAGTTTTGTAAAAATTAGATTTCTAATGAACGTGTTTAAACGAAATTCACAACCAGTCCTATCTTAAAAATATTATTACAAGCTTCTTTTAACTTAATGCGCCAATTATACGCTTGGGAGTTTTCATGATGAATCTATGAAATAGGATATTTGCATCAAATTTGTGATGTAATTATTCTAATTTTAGTCTCACAGAAGGCTTTGGAACTTACCTTAAGTAGATCAAGTGAAGATACATTGGAAATTTCGTGGGAGCATCCATCAATTGATATAACAAACGGTTTCTTACAAAAGTAACCAATACACTTTTTCTGAACTATATGAATATCATAATGTATTTCTTTTAATCATCGAGAAATTTTTTAACATTCATAAAAGTTTCTTTTTGATAAGAAATTCTTGGCATATCATGCATCATGTAACGGAGGTAGTCACAATAAGCCTTAAGGAAAAGTTGTAGATCTACAGACTGTCGAAGAAAATGCATAAATTTTAGGTATGTCATCGAATACTACAAGGATTCTGAATCCTTACGTGAAGTGAAAAGGAAAGATATTTTGCCGAACTCAACGATTTGCCTTTTAAATGGTACTTGGTTTTGGCTACGAATTTTGATTTTAAATCGTGATAGCTATTAGTTCTTCAAAATTCTGCATCGGTGTTTGCATTGAAAATAAGGCATAAATGGGTTGAAAATGCATGTATCGGGTTGAAAATCCAGACACCTAGCTGTGCCTAGTTACAATATACCTATACCTAGTTACCGAATACTTAGTCACAATATACCTGTACCTAGTTGCAAAATTTTTAGAGCAATCCGTGCTGCAAAATTGAATTAAGATGGGATGCGATTAAGAGGCGGAAGTTGATTATTCACAGGATTCTCATTCATATGATCATGTAATATTGCAAATATCATATTGGTGCTATCTTAGGTAACACTAGAAAAGGAAGTAGAAAAGTTCCAACTGTTTTACGTTATCGGTACGGCTGACTGGATTTCTCACAATAAAGAAAAGATAATAGTTTTATCATGAATTCTACGAAATCACATATTTGACACCCAGTACACTCTGTTTATAAATAAGAAAAAAACATCATTTGGGTTGTTTCACTTTTGGGAATTCCGAAAAATATTTTTATTGTCGTTGTTGAAGAAAAATGTAACAGGTATCAAGTCAGAAGTGGTATATCGTTTCCGGGTTATTCCGGTAACGCGTCACGGTCTTCCATCTGATGTGTATTTGAAATCAAATCCAAACTTCACTTCCATTGGTCATATGGTCGAGTCTACGAATAAAAATTTCCGTTCCGTTATTGGGTCGTTACCAATTGATATCGAACAGGTTATAACTGTCTTTATACCCTTTCCTATCTGATTTAGGATTGGTCTGGTTAACAACGAAAGAAAATCTCTTTGATCAAATTCTCTTCTCTATCAAAATTGCCTTGAAATCTTTCCTATACCATGTGAAACAGTGAAACAGATCTTGCATTATGGTATTTGAACCGCTAAGATCGATTTTTTTTCTCTTTGTCAATTCATATTTTTTCAGATGGGCACATCAATCATTATTCACTGGGAAGTGCGGGAAACTTCAAATTTTACTTCACAAGATCCAAAAAACCAAGCAGTTCTTATCCGTTATGCTCCTTCTGATCTATCACCACTGCGAGAAAAAGCAGAGGAAGGATTATTCATTAATGGGGCTATGAATTTGACTGAAAAATTTGACGCGGTAAACGTTCTCATTTCTCCGTTTTTTGCACTAATGATGGATACTATTACTTAATCACTCAAATTCCTTTCAACAGGGTTTGGATCGAAAATCGGGAATAAATTGCATATATTATTGCTGTTGTATATTTCCTAGAGCATAGTGAATACTCATCGATGTTTTTAACTGTTGTCATGATGAGATAGAATACCTGGAAAAGAAACAATTCGTTTTGTTCTTCCAAAATATTAACTTTAGGAGACACTATGTGAAATTGAGATATATGTTTAGCATCCTTAATTAAATTTTTGCAGCGTAATTATTATCAGGGTGGGTCCACGTTACCGATAATTCACTTTATGTTACAGTACCAATGAATCGTTAACAGTTTCAGTCGCGAACGTATCAGTTTTGTAGTCGCCTTTATGATGGTCTTTTTTATGGTCCTGACTTTTGCCGCACATATCGTTTACCACCAGCAACCTTCGCTGATATATTTAGTAGTTTTTCGAGCGGTAATGGTCTACCGAGGGCGGTATTGTGTCATCATCGTAAGTTAATCGTTTGTTGATAATAATGTAAATGACGGTAGGATAATAAGCTTCATAAAAGTCCACTTATATATTCTTGACTTACTAAAACCATTCGCCATAACTTGCTATTTGCTTTGATGCAAAACTTTGCTGACATTGTGTTTGCCAACATCTATACCTTGAAACTTACCTGTATTAAATGATCCGCTTCAAAATAAGTGGTAATTTGATTAAATGATGAATGTCAAAAGAAGGAAAAGAATGCCGTTGTGAACCATCCTACGAATTCGGTGATGCAATGCGTGTAACATGGGATTGGCCGATAGACGATCATAGTGCTGATGAATTCGTTGTACATTATACTTTGAGTGATAGTTTTTTTCCCGAAGATGACAGACTAGTTATTACGTAAGTTCCTTTTAATTTTTATATTCAGTAATGTGGATTGTAAAACTTATATTATATGCTTTGTTTGTAGAAGCATAGCAGGCACAGTTCTACGGATTCCCGGCACATTGATGACAAGTTACCGGGTAATCAGTGATTCATACCAGTGAAGACGAGAGGCGAGAATTTTTGTTCATAAATTCACAATGTTCTAGGGATGAAGCATTCGCAGATTTGCCAAGTCTTCGATCAAATACAACATATCGTATAATGATAGAACCCAGGAATAAAATGGGTGGTGTTGAAGGTTCTTGGTTCAACTGCACTACTCCGATTCGTAAGTAACTTTGATGTGAAATTGAATTATTTTTTTATTGTCTTTTGCAGGTATTCTCTACACGTGACCGTTAGTTATAGTGGTAGAAATTGAATGGTAAAAGTTTCTTTTTTAAAAAGAAAAACGAGCAAACAAATTTTGAAGAAAATAGTTGTCATTTATAATATATTGCAGTAGGACAAATTCCGGCACCGACAGGAGTAATGTACGAAGAATTGAATGCCACAGCTGTCCGAGTATCTTGGAATCCAATTCATCCAAATCCACGTTGGAGTACACCTGTGGGTTACGTGATACAGGTTCAGTCATCATCAACTTCTATGGCACCCGTAAAAGATATCCTTGGTATTTGCTTGCTCTTTCTAAATTCTTTTTTCTTCATCATCTTTGTTAGATAATAGCGATGTAGTTGATAATATTTTGAATATATCAACAAATGTTTTAGTTGATGGAATTAGTGCAACAAGCCACGTTATAACACTGCAACCCAATATGTTGTATACATTTCAAGTGGCCGCGCGTTCAAATGCCGGTGATTTGGGACAGCGTTCGTCTCCATATCTGTTTGCACCATCACAGATCAGTAAACCTGGTAGAATAGATGTTAGAAGGCCGAAGATGTTCCCGAAATCAAGTCGGGAAGGAATTTTAATCGGGATCGTTTTGGTAGTGGGTTTATTGACATTATGTTTCGGTGGTATCTGCGCCCATCTAAGGTAATAATTTTTTTTTTCAAGATTTTCGAAAATGGGTAATCTCTCTCTTTAAAATCCTTAAAATCCTTTAAATTTGCACGACATTTCAACTTCCTAACCGCCTGGATTCTGGACAACTTCATAAAACAAAATAGTACGTGATAAGAATTTCCCTGGTTACTTATTCTCATCCCTCAATATGGTGGGGCTTTTACTTAATTTCAAACATGAAGTTTAAAGTGGTTGGTTAAAATGCATAATTTTAAATCAGGTTGCTGTCTACATTTATATGAAAGTTCGAATATGGTAGAGTAAATAAAATGTATAGGAAAAATTACGATGATGCTTGAAGGAGATATAAGAGATTATAAGTTTTACGCGTAAAATGTTGTTCCTTACCTTAAGCAGTTTTGTATTTTCAGGTTAAAACGACGCAAGCTTGAAATGGGCATTAATGCCAATGCAGCTAATAGAGGAACAAATGGATCACGTAATATTACAAATGTAAGGTTTTTATTTCCTTTCGTGTGCAAAAGTTTTATTGTTCCTGAACGGAAAGTTTCTGAAAATCATCCCCAATTTAAGTCGATTATTACATCAGTAGAGAACGTAGTTTTATCTTGAAACTTATTTTGTTGTACTCTTCAAAATGTTTATTTCGTTCTTAAGTGTTGTTGTAGCCATGACCACTAGAAAACTGCATTTTGGCTTACTAAGTTGAAAGAATGATAAATGACATTTTAAGTCGGTGACATCAGCGACAGTATTAATTTATTCCTCGCAAAAAAATAAAGGATTTTGAAATATCAAATTTGATGAAGAAAACGTGTTGATTTACTTGATATACTGTGACTTGATGTACGAATTTAATCTTGTTGTATGAACTTGATGTACGAATTGTTACAGTATGAAATGGAATCATTAATTACACGACGACGAAGCGAATTGATTGATGCCCCTGGGAGGAATATCCCTCGTGATTCACTAATGCATAATCAGTTGAATCCGCAAAATAGCATATCAAATGAAGTAGAAGTGATATGTTTAGATACAAAAGGCGGTGAACAAGGTGCCTTGCCAAGTGGTCAAGATAAATATCTGAGGTAAGGCGCAGTTTATATGAGGATTTGGCATCAAAATTCTGAGCTTTTTATGAAAGATTGTTTCTTGCCTTATTAGGAATTCATCCTTATCACCACTAAATGTCTGATGGACTAGAACAGACAGGATAATTTCGACTTATTGATAATGCTATAATTTTCGTGAATCACATTATTCATTTAAATGGTGAAAATATCTCTAACTGATGAATTTAATCCCATGATTAAGAAAATTCTTGCAATTAATAATTGTTATGTCGTTTCTTTCACAAAAAATTTGTTCTTAGATTGTTGAACGATAAGAAGCAACTGCAACGTTTCAAAGAGTGCTTCTTATTTAATGGTTTATCAGAGGAATCGTCCGTTAAGGTTTGTTCTCGAATACACTTTTTCATGCACGTATTTGTATGCAGATATTATGACTAGATTAATATGCATGCCTCGGATAGATCTTGCAAATAAATTTGTTTATTGCCATTCAGCTGTCATCAGGGTTGTCGGGTCAGTCGTTTCTACAGATCACTTCATAGCATTGAAGCACTTTTTATTCTGGATTCTTCTGGATCAAGCTGGCAGTGCACTTTATCACTTTTTACTCCATGTGTGAAGTTCGGCTGATTTAAGGGTACAGTTGTTTTTCCTCAACACCCCGAGGACATGGTTTGGTGAAGCCAGTTACGTCATGCTTACTTATTGTTGTTGAAGTTAAATGTCTTGGACTGAATCCTAAAAGAATAAAAATGGCAAACTAGAAGAAAATTTTGTTCTCTTGTTCTCTAAGGCAAGGAATTACAATAGGTGTTGTTTACATTGCATGTGTGTTATTTTTTCAGAGCCACATATCTTGCAGAAAGAAGACGAAGAATGTAAATCGACGAAATGAGCCGTTTACGATAATGGCGAAAAGATCGAATTACAAGTTATTGGATTCGAAATGGATACGAGCAGCTTGTGATACCTCAGATCCATGGACCGGAAGTTTACCATCCAAGAAACGAGTGTAAGGAAATAATCATCCCTGATGCAATTTATATCCATCAATCCACTTATTAAGTACCGCTTTTTATGCTTTTTTATGTTCTCGATTTGTTTCACAGACCAACAGTGGTTTCCTTTTCAGAGTGAGACTTGGTTCTACATCAACAAGGACAGTAAAAACATGTTATCTAATGACAGGTCGTATGTCAATTAGCAATTTTGATATTATGATGCCACGTTTTTTGTCGAAATTGACTGCTTTGTCCGACAATACACGGCGGAATGCAGCCAGTCATGTGGAGTCGTTAAATCAAGCAATTTCATACACCAGTATTATTTGCCCACGATCAGCTTCGGTACAATCACTTTATCAGGTATTATTTATATTATTTATTGGGTCTAATTTATAAATATGTATAAATTTTGACTGCTCTAAATCTTGCTGTTGTAATTTCCTCTGTATTAATGCAGCTAAATCACCTCTGTTACATATAATAAAAGCAGGATCAAGATTACTAAACTTTGTCTTTGTTTACAGAAAGCTTAATAAGTTGTGAAAGGCAACGGATAAGTTGATTTTGCCTTCTCTGAAATTTTCTTGAACTTTTATCATCGAGTGGTCTCATTCATGATTCATTTGAAATTTCAGCGAAATGGTTTTATCAAACAAAAAAATGATAGTGTTAAAACAAGTGTTGCTATTACGACTAATAATTATATGAATTATCCGTGCAACACTCCTTCCAGTCAGTCGTTGTAAGCATAGATTTTTCTACTTTTCGAATTTGTAGGAATAATTTTGATTTACAGCATTAGTATCTTATAATGGGCTAGATTCGAATGTTGGATATGCTTTTGTTCGCTGAAATCATCATCTAAAGCTAAACATCTCAGTAACTGTAGAAAAAGGCGAAGAAAAGGATGGAAATTTTGCGATTGTTTGTTTTAGCTCATTTTATTTATATATCTATATAAAATTTTCAGAACTTGGTACGACGCTGGGTCAATTGAAAATGATGGCATTATGCGGCTACCTCGTGATACACCTAAGCTACACGGTAATAGCAACAAGGGGGCAACGATGTTGTGTTGTTCGATGCCGAATCTTACTGATTCGGGAATTGTATATGATGAGATGCATTTTCCTCGTCCACCTCCTCTTTCACCACCTCCATTGGACAATAAGCATTTGGAAAAATAACTATCACAGTCATCATCTGTGCAACACCTCCCTTACTATCATTATCCTCAGGAATAAATCCCATCATACAGTACTTTCCAAATATCAAATTGTTCTTTTATTTATGCAACAATTCTTTCTATTAGGATAACGTTTTATTTTATTATTCCATTTTACATTAACAATTTTTAATGCAAAATTGGATTTCCTATCGAAGATCTTTTTATGGGTCTTTTTGTGGTAAGAAGAAAGTAAAAGGGATCCATCCTATGGAAATATCGAGAATTTTTTTCCTTTTCCTTTTTTTTTCTTATTGTGTACTCATCTGTTTACTCTGCTGCTCTACCTCAGTGACAGTTTTCACGAAGATTTCAAATGTCATCAGAAGGTCATACTGCCAACTTATTCCATCAGTGTTCATTTATGTTGGTATATTCATGTGTCGGTGTGTATGTCTGTTGTGTGTATGTGTGTGTGTGTGTGTGTGTGTGTGTGTGTGTGCCTGTTTGTTTCCTTGTTTGCATGTGCATGCAGGTATACACAATGTAGTTCCGTTGGTGCAGTTGGTTCCCTTGACCTAGATGGTGAAATAAAGTAGGAGAAATGTTTCATCATTAATGGTTTGAAAAACGTCAAGTTTTGGGATAATTTTAAAAAAACAAAGAACAAAAAATTAACTGTTTGAATTATGACTTGCAGTATGAGAGAGAGAGAGGGGGAGAGAGAGTAATGTGAGTTATAATGTTAAAGGAGTTTAAAATGATATTCTAAGTGAATGATGAGAAGAAAATATTTTATTAGGAATATCTTATTTAAAAGTTTTGGCAATCCCAAACTTTTTTTCTTTTTTTTCAAGTAGTCCAATCCGCACATGCGTATTGTTGCAATCATCAGCAATCGCCTCAGTATCGGGTTTCATTACATGCACTGTATTATCATTATAATTGCTGTTATTATATTAATAATTTTGTTGGTTTTCAAATTTTTGGAATAATTTAAAAGTTTTTTTATATCTTATCTGCCTCATTCTCTGAATCTGATCCTTTATTCCTTCATATTTAAACCATCTTTCAGCAAGAAAACTTTCTAGCTCCTTTACGCCAACACTTTCATTCATATATTTAATATTGTTTTTCAATTTTGTTTTTTTTCAATATTTAAAATAACTATTTCGGATATATTTGAATGTTTAACACGATATTTCATTAGTATGCATATTTATATCTCATTTTAAGTTTAAATTAAATGATAATTTTTATCGTAGTCTTGATGAATGTTGTATGTACAGTGTATATTTCTTTATATCTTCCTCTGGTACCACTGATTTCTCTATAAATCAATCAATCATTGATTATAAACGGTTTGCCGAAGAAAAAAATCCAAGCAATGGTCGGCGATTTGATGATTGCTTGGATATTCTATTTCTTTCTTTTTTTTTCTGTTCAAATGAGATTTTAAAGTTTGATTTTTTCGTCAAAATTCATTCTAAGTTTTTTGAGTTTGTTTGTTGTAGAGGTTAGATTTTTCTGAAAACGGGCGAACTGTTGTGCTGTACTTAATTTCTGTTTTCTTATTGTAAAATTGAATTATCTTGTACAGTTTCTTATTGATCATGTGTTTGATGGTCCATTTAACAAACGTCACATTTGTTATCCAATTTGACAATTAGAGGCTTAAAGTTATGAAATAAGTGATAGGATGATGTATATACTGCACTTTATTCCTTAATTCCATTTTCTAAGCAAAAGAAAATTAGAAAAGCGTGGGAAATTCAGGTTTTGTTCTATTTTCCGTTTCTCTTACCGTATTCCTCAAGGAATTTCGTATGCTTAGACTCTCAAGCGGTGTATTCATTGCTGTTTCCGGCTTTCAAGTTTTTGGTTATATTCTGTGAAGTTATGGATATTTTCTATGAAGTTATGATACCTTTTTGTATCTCTCGAAAAAACTTTTTGCTGCGGGACATTGTGTAATGTACAATCGTGGAAAATTTGCTTATTTTTTGGAGTTAATTTCATTTATTAGTGAAAATCTTGCTATTTAAAATTTAAGATGTTAAAATTGAAGTGTGAAAAAAATGATTATCAGTAACACTTTTTGGGGTATTATGAAAGTATCACAAGTTATTGCTTGATCGGTTTATATCTCATACCTTTCACTCCGTCAAAATTTTCTCTTTCATGATCGTCAGCATAAAGCTGAAAATTTGAACGAATGAAAGGTGATGAGAAGAGGGGAAGATTATGTATGGTTAATTTATCTGATCATTGATCAATTTAAATGATCCAGTTAATTATATTCATCAATATCTCTGTATCGTAAATTGCTTATTTGCTTACCCATTTGACGTTGTTTGCATACTGATCATATCAAATGGGAGAGGTAATAAGGGGGCGCTTCGATATTTTCCTTTTTTGAAATTAATCTGCTTCAGTAGTTTAAACAAAGGATGGGTTGGGAATTAATCTATCTTAGTATTTAGAAAATGATAAATAAAAGATGGATTTGGAATTGATCTTAATAATTTAGAAAATGATAAATTATGAATTCCTGTTAATGAATGATTCATTTATATCCTCATTTAAATGGGGCGTCCAGGTTGTTTAATTTAAATATCGTTATTGCATTATTCATCGATATTTTTATATATTTCCCTCTGTTGGTATTTGTTGCTTTTTTAAAATCTATTATACATATATATACATATAAAATACGTGCATACATATATGTATACATTTGTCTTTGCTTGAAACAGTGATTGCACCTCAAATGGCGCAAAACTGTTTTATAGTGATATGGACAAATACAATGCCATTAAATAAATTTCGAGTTTTTTTTTCCTTCTTTCTAATTTAACTTTCCTAACCTACATTGATTATATGGGTGATAAGTTTGAAATTTGGAAACTATTTACTTGCTGAATGAATAATTTGAAGGAAGAGTGGTTACCAAGGGGAATAATTTGGTAGTTTCATTGGTGTACCTATAGTGAAATATTTTATCATGTGAGATGACGATAAGATAGAGAATAGTTGGGAGTAATGAAGGTAGGAGTACGGAACTTAGTTCATAAAAAAAAAGTATTCCTGGCTCCATTCAGTAATGATAAAATTATCATTTAATACCTGACGCTTTCTTTTGAATGCTCAAACGGGTTGTAGTAATAAGCATTTGCTTTTTATTTATTGCATACAATTGGATTATTTGATAATATGGGCAGACATAATGATACATATCAATCTTGCAACGGTTATGATAATCTTCTCATTGATATTACTTAACCGTTATCAGTTGCCATCAGTTTGTTTGTTAGACAAGCAAGTATTGATAATAGAGCAAGTCGGGGGAGGATTGCAGAAAGCAATTAGAATTGCATTTTAGATATTTAGATTTCGAATAATACATGGTGATATCGGAGGGTTTTTTTTTTTAAAAAACTTCAAAATTAAAATATGGTTGAGAACCCCCAAAAACAGTTCCGAAAATTGAATTAAATGAATATCGATATTTCATTGAGGTGTTGTTCATCATAAGTTGTTGTGATTAGTTTTGTTGCACATTTCTCATTCGTAATCTGAAATATTTCTCAAACGTCTCTGGCCTGAGTATTAAAACTATGAAAAAACTAAAATAAACCGATTCAACAAAGTTTAGTTTTTTCGATATAAATTGCATATAATTTCGAAGTTTTTTTTTTTAAGCAACGAAATTCCATCATTTAGTTCTAACAATTTTATTGCACCTAAGGTGCTACCACCGGTTGAAAGTATGGAAACAAAGAATATTATAATAATACACCACACACAACTAACAATAAAGCTAACAGGTTTACAAAATAAAACAAAAAATAGAAAATACTGTAGAGGCAATCACTACAACAGACACTTATGTAATGAGGCAATTCAAGCATAATAGAATGGTACAATTAAAAAGAAAAAACAAAACTTAGGAAAAGTAAAAAAGCTCAAAGAAAGATTAACAAATTTAAGTGTGTCAAAATAATAGAAGAGTTGTTGAAGAATTAATTATTAAATGATTTACGTTTCACGAATAGATTTCATCCATCACAATCACAAACACAAACAACACAAACCATTTAAAAATTGGAGAAAAGATTAATAAAAACAATATTAATGACGAAAATAAAAAAATTAATGACAGTGTAAACTATCACGAAAAATAAGAAGGAAGGAATATAGAGGTACTATAAAAAAAATTTATCACTAGTCATTATATATATATATCGCTGCATTGTAAGCAGCTTATTTGTAAGATTATTAAGCATCATAAATAAATTTGAAAAAATTATAAAACTTGAGAAATGATAAACACTAGACGATGATGGGGTGTACTTTCAAAATAATTTTATTAATAACTGAAATATCAAACTATAATGGAAAATTAATTATGTTTCAATCTGAAACATAAGAAGTCATTTCCCAAAAAAGAAAAGTTTCTTTTTTTTCTGTTTCAACTTTAATTTAAAAAATTTCTGACTTTTCTTTAAAGTTCATATCTCTTGCATTGTCGAACATTTTAAATGAAGGATTTGCCAATACCACAAAGAATATTCCAAGAAATATACCCAATTAGCTGAATTTTGGAAAGAAAAAACATTAATCTTAAATTCCGCCCCCTGAGCGTAAGACTGACACTGGCAATGGCTCGAATTCATCCAAATATCGTGCTAGTCGGCTTTGTGCTATTTGTCCGCCTTTCAGTCCACTATATAACTGAAATAATTACAACAATAAAATAAACAGAACTAATTCCTCTAGCAAAAATAAATCTCCCTCCTTATCAAGCAAATTTTGTGTGATTATAAACATCCGTTATTCCTATAGGATTATTCAATGTTACTAAATAGTTATGCTTAAATCGATAATTTTCATGTATATTACGATCCACTATTATTAATTGGAGTATTGTAATTAAAAGTCAAATGAATAAATTAAATGTTGGAAATTACTATAAGCAGAATATAATGGATAGTTCAGAGGGATTGAAATTTTACAAACAATGACTGATCGGAATAAACTTACTTGGAAAAATTCATTGAGATCAATTTCTCCATTTTTATTCAAATCTACTTCATTGAGCAGCTCATGAAGCAAACTTTCATCTATTTTACTATCGTGCTTCTGTAAAGGAAAAAAATGAATTGAATTCATCGAATGAAAAGAATTTAAGGAAATTTGAACTGTTTCCATAACAACGATGACCGAAAGTTAATATGTAGATCCTAACCTAAAACTGTCGCCAAGAAATTATTTCCATAATTCGACTTTTTAAATATACTAGAGTTGTTCCAAACAACACAATGTAATGATTTAAGACATAAATTGGGATGTCATTTGTACCTGGAAATGACGTCTAAGATCATTCAATGTTATGTGTCCTTTGTTTTCCTTATCTAACGTTCGGAAACGTTCGCGAGCTGCCTGCATTTCTTCTGCTGTTAAGTTCACTGGTACCGAAGAAAGTGAATGATCGCGAGCATTCTGGCCCATTTCTACCTCAATAAATTCCCGAGCCATATTCAATTGGTTCTGAAATAGGTTATCGTATAAGACATCAGAATGGAATGATACCAAAATATAGAAAATGTTATAAATAAATAGATAAATATAAATATAAAATATAAATATAAATATAAATATAAATATATATATATATATATATATATATATATATATATATATATATATATATATATATATATATATATATATATATATATATATATATATATA